AAAAAAAAAAAAAAAAAAAAAAAAAAAAAAAAAAAAAAAAAAAAAAAAATATATATATATACAGGATATACCTTTCCTGCTGCTGCTGTTGCTGCACGGGTGTAGAAGGAGCAGCAGCAGCAGCAGCAGCAGCAGCAAATAAGCAGCATAGTGTCTTTGTGTCTCCTTAATAGAAATAAATAAATAATTTATTTACTAATTATTATTAATAAAGAAAAAAAAAGAGACAAAAAGTGTCTCCTTTTTTGTCTCCTTTTTTGTCTCCATATACACACTCCAAGGAGACTCCTTGCTGCTGCTGCTGCTGCTGCTGCTGCTGCTTGCATGCAGGGATGTCTTGCTGCTCCTCCTACTGCAGCACAGAGGAGACGTATGCATGCATGCATGCATGCATGCATGCATTATGGTGTCTCCTTTCCCTTATTGTGTCTCTTAGCTAAGAAAAGGAGACAAAAAGTTTTCCTTCTTCTCTGCTGCTCCTGCTGCTGCTGCTTCTGCTGCTGCTGCTGCTGCATGCAGTAAACAAATAAAAAAACTAAGACACAATAAGTGTTTATTAGCAAGAGCAAACCCTAAACCCTAAACCCTAATCCGTAAACCCTAAACACTAATCTGTAAACCCTAAACCCTAAACCCTAAACCCTATAAGGACAAGGAAGCAGAAAAGGTAAGAAGAAGGACTTCTACGTACTGCAGAAGCGCCTGCTGCTGCCCCTGCAGCAGCAGCAGCAGCAGCAGCAGCAAGGGAAGCAGCAAGACATGCGCGCATGCAGCGCGCTGGCTGCATGCACGACTAGTGAAGTGTGTGGGGTGTCTCCGCACAGCAGCAGCAGCAGCAAGAGAAGCAGCAGCAGCAAAGAGGCAAAAAGGAGACAGGAAGGAGACAGGAAGGAGACAGGAAGGAGACAGCAGCAGCATCAGCCTCTATTTGCTGCATGTATTCAAAAAAATATGCATGCAGCAGCACGAAGTGCATGCAGCAGCAAGACGTGCATGCAGCAGCAAGACGTGCATGCAGCAGCAAGCAATCCAACAGCAAGACATGCATGCAGCACGATTAACACCCTACTCCCCAGCAGCAATATATGCTGCAGCAGCAGCAGCAGCAGCAGCAGCAGCAGCAGCAATAAGTGTACTGCCTCCTTGGCGTGTCTATTATGTTATTGCTTATAAGGCCTTTTATTAAGGAGAGAGCAGCAGCAGCAGCAGCAGCAGCAGCAGAAGCAGCAGCAGCAGCAAGACACACATAAAGAGAAAATTAACATTCTGCTGCTCCCCTTCCTGGTGCATGCAACACCCCACACTCTGCTGCTGTTGCTGCTGTTGCTGCTGTTGCTGCTGCTGCATGGGGAGCGCCAGAGACACGGTTGCTGCCTGCGGTGTTGCTGCTGCATGCAACACACAACAATCTGCTGCTGCCTACACTTTGCTGCCTGTGCTGCTGCTGCTGCTGCTGCAAATCAAGAATTCATTATTGTAGAAGCAGCAGCAAGTCTCGATGCAGACACTCGGCAAGGCAACAGCAGCAACAGCAGCAGCAGCAGCAGCAGCTGCTGCTGCAGCAAGTATCTGTGTTGTTGCACTATTTATAAATTCATTATTCTTCTACTAATAAGACTTTTGCTGCTGCTGCTGCAGACAGCAGCAGCAGCACAAGCCGTGCAGCAGCAGCAGCACGAGCACATCGTAGAGAGTAGCAACACGAGCAGCAGCAGCAGCAGCAACAGCAGCAAAGTAAGCAGCAGCAGCAGCAGTTATTGAGCTAACTGAATATGTTTATTCTTTCTTTTTATAATAAACAATTATACAACTGTTAACTAACCTTGGAGCTGCTGCTGCTGCTGCTGCTGTTGCTGCTGCTGCAGCAGCAGCAGCAGTCAGAACCCTTGGGGCCTCACTGGGGGCCCCTGTGCCGACACTCAAGCACAATCACCAGCTGCTGCTGTTGCTGCTGCTGCTGCAGCAGCAGCAGCAGCACAAGAGGCCCCTTGCCTCATTAATTAGGACTTTTTAATTCATTTTTTAATTTATTTATTTAATTAATAATTATTTTTCTTCTTTTTTTGTTTATATTAACAGCAGCAGCAGAGGGGGGGGCCCCGGGGCCCCGCCGAGCCCTTATTATTGCAGTTCAGCAGCAGCAGCAGCAGCAGTCGCTGCTGCAGCAGCGGCAACAACAGCCGCAGCAGCAAGGCTAGAAGGAGAAACAGGGGGAGGAGCAGCAAAAGCTGCAGCAGCAGGAGTAGAAGCCACAGCAGCAGCAGCAGCAGCAGCAGCAGCAGCAGCATACCTTGTAATCCTTGTCGGCTTGTTGGATGTTGCTGCTCAATTTGCTGCTGCTGCAGGATTTCCTTCCCTGCCTCTGCAGCAGCAACAACAACATCATCAGCAACAGCAGCAGCAGCAGCAGCAGCAGCAGCAGCAGCAGCAGCATAAGCATAAGCATAAGCATAAGCATAATCCTCCTAATCCTATTCATACTAATACTAAGAATCCTCCGCAGCAGGAAAACCACCACCACCACCACCACCTCCACCCTCAATAGCAGCAGCAGCAGCAGCAGCAGGAGCAGCAGGAGGAGGAGCAGCAGCAGGAGGATGTGGGCCCCCCATGATGGTAGTACTATTCCGGTGTATAGGCAGGGGCCCCCTTTATTACCTGAATATTTATTAGATGTAATAAATTTAGGGGATATAAAAGAAGTAGATAAATCTATTTATTCTTCTTTGCTGCTGCTGCAGTTTATATATAATAATAAACAGCAGCAATGCTTCTTCTGCTGCAGAAATAACAGCAACAGCAGCACCAGCAGCAGCAGCAGCAGCAGCAGCAGCAGCAGTAGTAGTAGTAGAGGGAGGAGCAGGGGGAGCAGCAACAGATACAATTGTAGTAGTGATAGCGGTAATGCTAGCAGCAGCAGCAACAGCAGCAGCAGCAGCAGCAACTCTACCGCAATAATAACAACAACAACAACTACTACCCCTAACACCATCAGCAGCAACAGCAGCAGCAGCAGCAGCAGCAGCAGCAGCAGCATTGATGAAGTTATTGAGGTCCTTCCTCGTATAGTTTACATCCGTCGTTTATTATTATGTTTTGCCCGTGAGCTCGACAGCAGCAGCAGCAGCAGCAGCAGCAGCAGCAGCAGCAGCAGCAGTACTACTACTACTATAAATAATTGGCAGCAGCAAATAGATTATTTTTTATTGAATTGTGCTGCTTGCTGCTGCTGCTATACAGCAGCACAAGATGAGCTGCTGCGCTCCTTTTGCTGCTACAGCAAAGACAAGGCAGCAGCAATTTATTTATATAATGAATGGCTTGTCTTTGATCTATCTAGGATACTTTCTTCTCTTATTCATATACATACTGCTGCTGCTGCTGCTGCGTCAGCAGCAGCAGCAGCAGCAACAGCAACAGCAGCAACAGGTGCTGCTGTTGATGCGGTTGCTACTGCTGCTCTTACGGACTCGGGACAGCAAAAACAGCAGCAGCAGCAACAGCAGCAACACTTGTCAGAACAGAGCAGCAGCAGCAGCAGCAGCAGCAGCAACAGCAGCAGCAGCAGCAGCAGCAGCAGCAGCAACAGGAGACTATTGGAGACAACAGTAACACATCTATTGATGGCAGCAAGCCGTCTCCTTACATTACAATCAGAGACACCTGCTGCTGTCTTCTTTTGCTGCCTAAATGAGCGTATGCCTGTCTCCTTGCTGCTGCAGCAGCTGCTGCTGCAGCACCCACAACAGCAGCAGCAGCAGCAGCAGCAGCAGCAGCAGCAGCAGCAGGGGATTGGAGGGCTACTTGCTGCAGCAAATAGCAACAGAAAGAGACTAAGACCACCAGCATGGTTCCCTGATGGTGCATCAAGGGCAGATCTGCTGCTGCTGCAGCAGCAGAGTCATGGTCTGCATCTGCTGCTGCTGCAGCTTGATCAGCTGGTGCAGCAGCAGCAACTGCAGCAGAGGCAGCAGCAGGGAGAATTTGACTTCTTTGAAGCTGTAGAGCAGCAGCAGCAACAGCAGCAACAGCAGCAACAACAACAGCAGGAGTTGCTGCAGCAGCAGCTGAATCAGTTGCTGCAGCAGCAACCTGAGTTAGCAGATCTTCGTGTGTCTCCTTTATGTTTGCTGCTGCCTCTGCTGCCTGATCCGCTGCAGTGTATGTTTGCTGCTGCAGCAGTAGCAGCAAGACACCCCGATCTGCTGCTGCCCCAGCTGCTGTCTCTGCAGACACACTGCATGCTGTGTCTTCGTGCTATTTGCTGCGCTGCTCTGCATGCAGTAGCACTAACGCAGCAGCACGTGCTGCAGCAGCAACTGCTGCCTCCTCCTCCTGCTGCTGATGATGATAGCAGCAGCAGCAGCAGCAGCAGATTGCTGCACATAGTTGAATTTTGGCTTAAGGCGCTTGCTACTGCATGCGGCAGACTTGTAAGCAGCAGCAGCAGCAGCAGCAGCAGACAGCAGCAGCAGCAGCAGCAGCAGGTAATAATAAATGCAGCAGAAGAAGATCTATGTGTCTTTTCTCAGCTACTAGGGGCGCTGCACTGTCTGTATATTGTGCTGCTGCAGCAGCAGCCTCCAGGTGTATCCGCAGCACTGCAGCAGCAGCAGGAGTATATACCCGATGTACTGCAGCAGCAACTGCAGCAGAAAAGGCAGCAAATAATTCCCCAATGGCAACGATGTTCTGCTGTTGCTGCTGCAGTCATGGCATCGTGCTGCAGCAAAAGCCTCAGCAGCAGCAGCAGCAGCAGCAGCAGCAACGTGGAAGCACCTGAGGTGTATATACATATGTTAGGTCTTCCTGCTGCTGCTGCTGTGCTGCCGCTGCTAGGGGACGAGGTAACAAGGCCCCTGTCTCTTTCTTTGCTGCAGTGTCTCCTTATTCCTCTTGCTGCTCTCCTGCTGCTCCTCAAACAACGGCTTAAGTATACCAGCAGCAGCAGCAGTAGCAGCAGCAGCAGCAGTAGCAGCAGCAGCAGCAGCAGTAGCAGCAGCAGCAGTAGCAGCAGCAGCAGCAGCAGCAGCAGCAGCAGCAGCAGTAGTAGTAGCAGCAGCAGCAGCAATAGCAGCAGCGGTAACTCAGTTGATGCATGCCAGACAACGGAGCCACAAAAACAGCAGCAACAGCAACAGCAACAGGAGCAGCAGCAGCAACAGCAACAGGAGCAACAGCAGCAGCAGCAACAGCAACAGCAGCAACAGCAACAGCAGCAGGAAGAAGCAGCATTAGATGAATATTTGCGTTGGATAGACGAAGAAGGGGAGACAAAAGAGCAGCAAGTAGGGACTGTCTCTTCTCTGCAGCAACAGCAGCAAGTATCTGCAGCACCTGCTGCTGCAGCAGCAGCAGCAGCAGCTCCGCCAGCAGCTGGAGTGGGGGCCCCGCTATTAGAGAGCCCAACAGATCAACTGCAGCAGCAGCAGCAGCAGCAGCAGCAGCAGCAGCAGCAAGATGCCCAGCAGCAGCGGATGCAGCAAAATCGGCAGCAGCAGCAGCAGCAAGTTTTGCTGCACCTAACGAGTTGCTGCAACGAAGCGCTGCAGCTCGTAAGGAAGGCCCTTGCATGCCCTCCCTTACAGGGAGTTTGCCGTTGCAGCAACAGCAACAGCAGCAGCAGCAGCAGCGGCAGCAGCAACAACAACAGCAACAGCAACAATGCCGAGGGATCGGACAACGATGTAGATGGCAGTGCTGCTGCTGCTGCTGCTGCTGCTGCTGCTGGGGGCTGTCCCGCGGACAGCAGCCGTAGCTCTTCAGCAGCAACAGCTGCTGCTGCTCCTGCTGCTGCTGCTGCTGCTGTTGTTTGCTGCGGTGTATGCTCAGCACGAGCATTAAGAGGAGAATGGCTAAGAGCATTAAGGGGATGGAGACGAATAGGGGATGGATTTGCTGCTGTGCTGCGGCCTGTCGTTGCTGCTGCTGCTGCTGCAGAAGCAGAGGGTAGGCCATTTACATTGTTTCTCAGCAGCAGCAGCAGCAGCAGCAGCAGCAGCAGCAACACCAAAGACAGTAGCAGTAGCAGCTGCAGCAGCAGCAGCAGCAGCAGCAGCGGGGATAAGGATGCCGAGCTGCAGACCCGACTCAGTTTTTGTTTACAGACTTTGCTGCAGCTTGCTGAAGCAGCAGGAGCAGCAGCAGCAGCAACAGCAGCAGCAGAAGGAGACACAGGTAACGAAGAGGAGGGGGCCCCCAGCAGCAGCACGGGGGCCCCCAGGGTATCAGAAGAATCAGCAAGAAAAGAGTTAATAGAGGATATACAGGAGATAGACTTAGAGGAAGTAGAAGCAGCAGCAGGAGGCACTGCAGCAGCAGCAGCAGCAGCACCAACAGCAGCAGCAGCAGCAGCAGCAGCAACCCCCCCATGGGTGTTTGAACTAGAGGAGACACAAGAAGAGTGGGGTAGTTGGCTTTGCTGCTGCGAGGAGATGCAGCAGCAGCAACTGCAGCAAGCAGATGCAGCAAGAACAGCAGAAACAGCAGCAGCAGTACAAACCCATTGGGTTGTGCAGCAACTACGGCAGCAGCAGCAGCAACAGCAACAGCAGCAGCAGCAGAAGCAGCAGCAGGTAAATACTATCTCTGATGAAGATATATGGGATGCAGCAGAAGCAGCAGAAGCAGCAGATGCAGCAGCAGCAGCAGCAGCAGCAGCAGCAGATGATGATGATGATGATGACATTGTTTGCTTCAGCTGCAGCAGCGGCGAGGAAGACAATAGTACACCCCAATCAGCAACAACAGAAGCAACAGCAGCAACAGCAGCAGCAGCAGCAGCAGGAGAGAGGAGAGTGTCTGTTGTGCTGCTGTCTAGTGACTCTGATTCTCCAGAAGACAGACAACAGCAGCAGCAGCGAGGGGTGAAGCAGCAGCAGCAGCAGCAGCAGACAGCAGCAGCAGCAGCAGCAGCAGCAGCAGGAACGTCTGCTGCTGCGGGTCAAGCAGCAGTCCCAGGTCGTGCTGCTGCATCCCGCACGTCTGCTGCTGCTGCTGCTGCTGCAGCAGCAGCAGCAGCAGACAAGAAATGGTACAGAACAGCAGCACAGCAGCTGCTTGCTCGTCGCCTAGGGGCCCTAGATAGCAGCAGCGGGCGTATCTTACCCCGCAGCAGCAGCAGCACCATCAGCATCAGCAGCAGCAGCAACAGCAGCATGGTCAGCAGCATTAGCAACAGCAGCATAGGCAGCAACTTCTTTGGCTCCGCCTTTAGGAAGAAGAGACATATGGCGGGCTTTGGCAGCAGCAGCAGCAGCAGCAGCAGCAGCGGGGGATCGGACCGCAGCAAGTTGCTGCAGGAGATAAAAAGGGAGGTGCAGCGGGAAGCTGCTGCTGCTCCTCCTCTGCATGCAGACAGATACAGTTTGCGGAGCTCAACAGCAGCAGCAGCAGCAGCAGCAGGAGGCAAGCGTCAGCGTCCTGTTGATTTAGCAGAAGAAGACGCAGCAGCAGCAGCAGCAGAGAAGGAGAGGAGCAGCAAACGATGCCGCGAGAGAGCAGCAGCAGCTGCAGCAGCAGCAGCAGCAGGACCACCACCAGTAGATGCACGTCCTACTGTACGTTTGCTGTCTCCTAATTCTGCTGCTGCTGCTGCAGGAGTTGATAGCTGCAGCAGCAGCAGCAGCATAAGCAGGAGGGCCCCACATACATCACAATCTCCGCAGCAGCAGCTGCTGCAGCAGGTGCTGCTGCTGCTGCAGTGGGAAAAGAGACGATGGCAGCAGCAGCAGCAGCAAGCAGCAGAAATTGCTCGCCCTGCTGTACTAAAGTTTTTATTTACTTTATTAGAGACAGATATATTCTGTCTTGCTGCTAGTCCCCAAGATATGTCTCCTGCTGCAGCAGCAGCAGCAGCAGCAGCAGACAGCAGCAAACGTCTACAGCCACAAGTTGCTGCTCTTGCTGCTGTTGCTAAGGCACATCCATTGCCTCTATGCTTCGAGTCCCTGCAGCAGCTGCAGCAGTAAGTATATATATATATATTATATATAT